AGGCTCAGAGCCCCTTAGCTGGCTCGTGGTGGACATGTAGTCTGAGTAATAAACAACCTTTGTTAAGCAAGTGGATTTTGGGGTTGTTTTTGCTGCTTAACTTGACCTATTTGAATTAAATAGTAAAACAGAAGGTTCTTTCCATTTGACCATAGGCATACCTCACTTTGTTGCACTTTGCTTTATTGTGCTTCACAGATAATGCCTTTTTTTTTTTTTAAAACATATTGAAGGCTTTGTGGCAACCCCGTGTCAAGCGAGTCTATTGGCTTCATTTTTTCAGTGGCACGTGCTCACTTCATATCTCTGTGACGCATTTTACATATTACAATACACATATTACAATATTTCAAACTTTTTCATTATTGTATCTGTTAGGGTGATCTGTGATTAGTGACCTTTAATGTTACTATTTTAATTGTTTTCAGGCACCAGGAAGTGTGCCCCATATAAGACAGTGAACTGAATTGATGAATGTGTGTGTTCTGACTGCCCCACTGACCATCTGTTTCCCCATCTCTGTCCTTCTTGGGCCTCCCTATTCCCTGAGACACAACAGTATTGAAATCGGCCCAATTAACCCTACAGTGGCCTCTAAGTGTTCAAGTGAAAGTAAGAGTTGAATGTCTCTCACTTTAAATCAAAAGGTTGAAAAGACTAAGCTTAGTGAGGAGGGCATGTCAAAAGCTGAGACAGGCTGAAAGCTAGGCCTCTTGCACCAGTTAACCAGGTTGTAAATGTAAAGGAAAAGTTCTTGAAGGCAATTAAAAGTGCCACTCCAGCGAACACATGCGTGATAAGAAAGTGAAACAGCCTTATTGCTGATGAGAGTTTTAGGGGTCTGGATAAAAGATCAAATCAGGTTCATGCCTGTAATCCTAGCACTCTGGGAGGCTGAGGCTGGCGGGATTGCTCAAGGTCAGGAGTTCAGAACCAGCCTGAGCAAGAGTGAGACCCTGTCTCTACTAAAAATGGAAAGAAATTAATTGGCCAATTAAAAATATATAGACAGAATTAGCCGGGCATGGTGGTGCATGTCTGTAGTCTCAGCTACTTGGGAGGCTGAGGCAGAAGAATTGCTTGAGCCCAGGAGTTGGAGGTCTCTGTGAGCTAGACTGACACCACGGCACTCTAACCTGGGCAACAGAGTGAAACTCTGTCTCAAAAAAAAAAAAAAAAAGAGATCAAACCAGCCACAACATCAACATTCCCTTAAGCCAAAGCCTAACACAGAGGAAGGCCCTAACTCCCTTCAATTCTATGAAGGCTGAGAGAGAAGGAAGCTGCAGAAGAAAAGCTGGAAGTTCTAGCAGACATTAGTTCATGAAATTTAAGGGAAGAAATGATCTCCATAACATCAAAGTGCAAGTGAAGCAGCAGGTGCTAATGTAGAAGCTGCAGCAAGTTATCCTGAAGATCTAGCTGTGACCATTGGTGAAGGTGGCTACACTGAATAACACATTTTCAATGTAGATGAAAGAGCCTTCTAGTGGGAGAAGATGCCATCTAGGACTTTCATGGCTACAGAGAAGTCAGTGCCTCGCTTCAAAATTTCAAAAGACAGGCTGACTTACTCTTAGGGGCTAATGTAGCTGGTGAGTTTAAGTTGAAGCCAGTCCTCATTTACCGTTCTGAAAATCCTAGGGCCCTTCAGAATTATGCTAAATCTGCTCAGCCTGTGCTCTGTAAGCAGAACAACAAAGCCTAATGACAGGACATCTGTTTATAGTATGGTTTAGTGAATATTTAAAGCCTTTGGTTGAGACCTAGTGCTCAGGAAAAAGGATTCCTTTCATAATGTTATTACTCATTGACAATTCACCTAGTCATCCAAGAGCTCTGATGGAGACATACAAGGAGAAGAATGTTTTTTTAATGCCCAACATAACATCAGTTCTACAGCCCATAGATCAAGGAGTGATTTTGACTTCCAAGTCTTATTTAATAAGTCCAAGTCTTATTTAAGAAGGGCGTTTAGTAAGGCTTTAGTTGGCATTGATAGTGCTTTCCCCAATGGCTCTGGGCAGAAAAACAAAAACAATTAAAAACCTGCTGGAAAGGATTCCTCATTCTAGTATGCCATTAGGAACATTCATGGTTCATGGGAGGAAATAAAAATATCAACATTAACAAGAGTTTGGAGGAAGTTGATTTCAACCCTCATGACTTTGAGGGGTTCAGTACTAAAGTGGGGGAAGTAACTACAGATGTTGTGGAAATAGCAAGAGAACTAGAATTAGAAGTGGAGCCTGAAGATGTCACTGAATTACTGCAGTCTCATGATCAGAATTGAACAGATGAGGAGTTGCTTGTTAGGGATGAGCAAAGAAAGTAGTTTCTTTAGGTGGAAAGTACAAGTATTCCTGGTGAAGATGCCGTGAACGTTGTTGACATGACAGCAAAGGATTTGGATGTCGCATAAGGTTAGTTGATGAAGCAGTGACAGAGTTTGAGAGGATTGTCCTATTTTGAAAGAAATTCTGCTATGGGTAAAATGCTGTCAAACATCCTAGCGTGCTATAGAGAAATCTTGTATGAAAGGAAGAATCAATCTGTGTGGCAACTTTTATTGTCTTATTTTAAGAAATTGCCGTAGCTACCCAGCCTTTAACAGTCACCACCTGATCAGTAGTAGCCATCAACATCAAGGCAAATCCCCCCACCAGCAAAAAACATTGGCTGGCTCAAGGCTCGGGTGATCATCAACTTTTTTTTTCGTAATAAAGTATTTTTTATTTAAGGCATATACTTTTTAAAGACGTAATGCTATTGTACACTTAACAGAGTACATTATAGTGTAAACACAACTTTTATATATACAGGGAAACTAAAATATCTGTGTGCATTGCTTTGTGATATTTGCTTTGTTGGGATGGTGTGGAACCAAACCTGCAACATCTCTGAAATATGACTGTATTTAAGTAGTCAGTTTAATGAAAGAATATACCTGAACGTGCCACACTTCTCACTCAGGCGTTTTCAAAAGTGTTTTTATGTCTATGTATCTTATGCAAAATGTAACTTAAAATTAGAAAACATTTAAAAATGTGAAATACCCATGACACTTGATTCATGTATATATTTTCTTCCCGGCATTTTGCTCCTCACCAAACCTTTCCCCGGTAGGTTTGTGTTCGGAACAATACAAATACCTAACAGAGTTGTTCCTTATACTTTGTTTCCAGGATCTCAGATATATTCAGCACCAGAGATTGTGAGGGGTACTGACTTCTCCATCGCCAGTGACCTCTGGTCTTTGGGCTGTCTGCTTTATGAAATGTTTTCAGGTAATTACTTTCTGGTTCAGTATAAAATCAAAACTAGTCTAAAACAAACAAAAAACAACGAGGTTAATTCTGCAGTTTTCAAATATTTTACATATAAGGTGTCAGAATATGGCTTTATTAAATTTTTATTATTTTAAGAGAAGGGGTCTTGCTACGTTTACCCAGGCTGGCCTCAAACTCCTCGGCTCAAGCAGTCCTCCCATCTCAGGTTCCCAAGTAGCTGCAACTATAGGTGTGCACCAATATGCACAGCTACATTTTTTTATATACTAATTTTGGCTGAATTGCTTGGTGTCTAGGCATATGCAGGTTCCTACGAACTTTTTGACATATAGGTAATTTTTCATGATAATCATCCGGAATGTTGAAATGTGCCTATTTGAAACTCTGATTATTAGAAATTCTTGTAAAGGTGCCTTGTGATGTAAATTATTCAGATGTGGTGAGTGGGTCCTGCCACCCTTGGATCATAGTCGTCTATAGTGAGTTTGAGTATTTGTTAGGATGATAAATTTAGAATTAGAGAAATATACCAGGCATTCAGTAGTTATTGCTACATATTTTTTCTGTAAATTGTGTAATCCTGAGATACGTAAAATGGAGATTCGTTTAGAATTATTGGTGATAGCAAAATGTTTAATTTTGTAAATTGTCATGTGATTTCAGGAAAACCTCCATTCTTCTCAGATAGTGTTTCAGAATTAATTGAGAAGATTTTATATGAAGATCCTTTGCCACCTGTTCCAAAAGGTAAGATTTCTTATGATAAATTGAGTTAACTTATATTTTATACTTATTAAAGATATACCTTTATCCCAAGTCTAATTTATTATTCATAACCCCCCAAAGGTATATTTTATAAATGGTCCCAAATTGATACTTGTAGAAATGTTTGCATTTCTTTTGCCATAATTTTTGCATTTCCTTTGCCATAATTTTTATATACTGAAATGGAAAACAAGTAATTTCCCTCATTCAAAAATACAAATTATTTTGTGTACCTATATCACAAGAAGTCTGGCTTAAAGCTTTAAAAAACCCAAATCTTTATGTAATACTGCTTTTTATACGTATCATTTACTTGATTTGTACTCATAATCCCATGTGTTATTTCTATATAGTGTTCGAATAGGAATAAATCAGATATTTCTGAGTCTCATTTTTTTTTTTTGACACAGAGTCTTGCTTTGTTGCCCAGGCTAGAGTGCAGTGGAGTCAGCCTAGCTCACAGCAGCCTCAGACTCCTGGGCGCAAGTAATCCTCCTGCCTCAGCCTCCCGAGTGGCTGGGACTACAGGCATGTGCACCACACCTAGCTAATTTTTTAATATTTTTAGTAGAGATGGTGTCTCACTCTTGCTCAGGCTGGTCTCAAACTTCTGATATCAAGCGATCATCCCTCTTTGGCTTCCCATAGTGCTAGGATTACAGGCTAGAGCCACTGTGCTCTGCCCATTTCTGAGTCTTTATCTTGATGAATCAGAATGCTACCCTTATAAGTTTTAAAAGTGTTTTAGGCCGGCACAGTGGCTCACGTCTGTAATCCTAGTACTCTGGGAGGCTGAAGTGGGCAGATCGCTCAAGGTCAGAATTTCGAGGCCAGCCTGAGCAAGAGCGAGACCCCGTCTCTACTAAAAGCAATAGAAGTTAATTGGCCAACTAAAAATATATATTAAGAAATTAGCTAGGCACGGTGGCGCATGCCTGTAGTCCCAGCTACTTGGGAGGTGGAGGCAGGAGGATTGCTTGAGCTCAGGAATCTGAGGTTGCTGTGAGCTAGGCTGACACAACAGCACTCTAGCCCAGGCAACAGAGTGAGACTCTGTCTCAAAAAAAAAATCTTTTAAACTAGATATAGCTGTAGTATTTTAAAAGTGTTGAAACTTTAATCAGATAAACTGTGGTTAATATAGCAATCTACCATTAGCAATAATTTTAAGGAAAGAAATGAGAAACAAAAGAAGACACAAATATAGTAAAACATTTTGCTGTACACCATTAAAGAAGTTATAATCTTTTATTTTTTAATGCATAATGGATATTTTGGGATACATGTGATAATTGAATACATTCATATAATTAAAGATCAAATCAGTGTGCTTATGATATTTGTCACCTTACATATTGTTTATGCTAGGAACATTCTCTTCTAGCTATTTTGAAATGTACAGTAGTTTATTGTAAGCTATAGTCACCATATTGATCTATCCAGCATTAGGTCTTTATTCTAAGAAGTTAATCTTTGGCTATATAAATGAAAATAGGATTCTACAAAAATTCCGAGTGTTTAGAAAAAATTTTCAGAAGTGATGAATGGAGGAATAGGAATACAGGATATTTTCAATATTTCAGGAATCATCGTAGGTGAAAACTCTTGATATTTTAAAATTAGTTTATATTTTTTTCTTTCATTGGTTTTGTCTTAGTTTTTATAGAAATCAGTCATTCTATTTTTTGAAATGATATCTTCTGATTTTTTTTTTTTAAATACAGTATCAAGGCCAAGCGAGGTGGCTCACACCTGTAATCCTAGCACTCTGGGAGGCCAAGGCAGGCAGATCATTTGAGCTCAGGAGTTCGAAACCAACCTGAGCAAGAGCTCAGGTTGGTTTGCAATTTTAAAAGGTGGAGATGCAATTTTAAAAGATAAAACATGAGATTGGTGGACTTGGACAGTGAATAATGTTGCATAATGTTGCAAAGTATATTAGTAATATTTCCCTGTTAGAAATCTTCAAAATAAAAGAGATCGCAAGTATTCATATAATATTGTATTAGAATGCAAAGTTGGGCTGGGCGTGGTGGCTCATGCCTGTTATCCTAGCACTCTTGGAGGCCAAGGCAGGTGGATTTCTCAAGGTCAGGAGTTCCAAACCAGCCTGAGCCAGACCCCATCTCTACTAAAAATAGAAAGAAATTAATTGACCAACCAAAAATATATATACAAAAAATTAGCTGGTCATGGTGGCGCATGCCTGTAGTCCCAGCTACTTGGGAGGCTGAGGCAGTAGGATTGCTTGAGCCCAGGAGTTTGAGGTTGCTGTGAGCTAGGCTGATGCCACGGCACTCACTCTAGCCTGGGCAACAAAGTAAGACTCTGTCTCCAAAAAAAAAAAAAAAAAACAAAGTTGGTCAAGTTAGGAATGCTTTAGAGTAAAAAGCATAAATAATAGTTGAAGACAAGAGTAAGAGTTTGTCAGGCTGGTGCTCCTTATTGGTGTTATTCAATAGAAAGAAAGTTTAGTGGTTAATTTAGACTAAGTTTTTGAGATTCAGTTTTTTGGTGTGGTTTAGGAAAAAAGTGTTTTGTCTTTGTGCTGGGCATCCTCCCCACCCTGCTGCCTCTCGCAGTCCTTAACCAGAAGCTGTAATTTTTGTTAATGGATTCAGTGTTCTCTTAAAAACAGTTTATGTGGTTAAAATACTATTACTTTAAATATTGATGTAGCATGTAAAAATAAAATTGATGTATTCTGTATTTGTTTACTTACCATTTTTTTGTTTTGGGAAATTTGTTTATAGATTCATCTCTTCCTAAAGCTTCATCAGATTTTCTTAATTTGCTTGATGGGTTACTTCAAAGAGATCCTCAGAAAAGGTAGGGATCATATTTTAATGTGAATAATAGTGGAACTTTTTTTGTTTCCCCCCTTCCATGTACTTCTAAGATAGTGCTTTTCTTGATATACAGATAGCTGTTCAAATTAATTTTTTTTTTTTAAAGTCAGTCTGACTTTGGATTAAGAGTTTTTTCCTCTCCGTTTGCAGGTATTTCTAATCATAAGGAACTTTTGAAGTCAGTTTCTCTTTTTAAATAGTTGCCTAGTAGGTTGACATGTTTTCTTATAACTCTGGAATCCAAGAAGTGCTTTTCTTTCCATTGTATATTTCAGGCTAAAACTGCTTTAGACGATTGAACTAGAGATGATACTGTCAAGATGGTTGACGTACCTATTGTTAACTGAGTGACATTTAATGTTTTTATGGTAATCCTGTCCTAATGGGGCTATCAGATGACGGGATAATAGGAGCATTGTGAATTTTCTGTGTTGTGCTGATGGCACTAAGTTAGAAATTGAGGCTGTGGCACAGGATTGGGGAGGCCTGGAGGTGGTGGGGCACAGGGAAGGAGGTCTCATTGGCCTAGGGAGGTAAGAGCAAGTAGTTTCTAGTTCTGGTTCTGTCACTAGATAACTGAGGCAGGTGGAGGAGGAGGTTCAAGAGGTAAAAAATAAAGAGGTGAAAAAAAATTTAGTGTAGCATATAAAATATTCTCTAATTTTATTAAATATGTGAAAAAAACTATAGAAGGAAATGCTGATTCTTGTGTAAGCTGTAGGATAAACCTCTTCAGAATTAATGTTATTTTGGTGGATAATCTTTAGATATCTTTTGATAGGCCATATATATGCCTAATTTATTTAGGATGGTTTATCCACATATGCCAACATTTATAACCCTATAGTATATAATTTTTTGCTTAAATGGGACCATTCCATAGCCTACTTTTTTTCCTCTTGTGGTATGGTACAGATATTTTCCTATATTAGTATGTATGTATGTAATATATATCTTAGTTATTTTAAATGGTTGTAGAATGTACATGCATTATCTATAATAACAAATTTTAGAATGCTTCTGGATTTCAAAATTTCTATACCTTATCACGGAGAATATCCTTTTGTGGGTTTTTGTTTTTAATTGTTCACTTGGGTAGTGCTCTCCTTTGTGTCAATTTCTAAAAGTGGGATTGCCTGCCTAAGGCTTAGAGCATTAAAAAGTTTGATACATTTGCTGCAAGTTCTGGGAACTTGTGCTTGTTTACACTCCCTGCAACAATAAGTTAGAAAGTTCCTTCCCTCCCACTCTCACCTACATGGGCTTTGTTGATCTTTTAAATTTTGCCAATCTGTTGGGTGAAAGATAAATTTCACTTTATTGGCTATTTTAATTTCTCTTTTAGTGAACTATAAGAGCTCTTTGTGTAAAAAAATGTTGTATGTGGTTGCAAGTTCTTTCTCTTTATTATTTGTGCTTACTTTTGATCAACGTAATTTTTATTTAATATAGAAATTTTGAATAATAAAATTAAATATAAATTATTTTCTTTTTTTAAAATTTAAATCAGGCCTGATTTTCCCAATCTGATGAGTATGCCTAGAGGTGTACTCTATTAGTAGTAAAACTTAATGCTTTGAAAGTGAATCTGGATTTTAGATACAGCCTAGTCATTGTAATGTGAGTGAACTAGCTAGAAAACATTATTTTGACTCCTAAACAGAGGTGTGAATGTATATAGCTATGAAGCTTATATTTTTATTTCTGAATGCAGTTCTAAAAGCGAAGTCCTAGAGCTGAAATATGTCAAACAGTGAGGGTACCTAAAACGATCTTGCCTCTCTTGAGACACAAAGGATGACAGAATTATAGATTGATACTATCTGATGTATTTACTTCAGAATTTCAGATTATTTATAGACTCCTTTCATAGACTGGTTGGAGAACCTAAAATATTCTCATCAGTCTCTATGCAGTATGAACCCTGAGACTACTAATAGTTGTCAAACTGTTTCATTCTGTACCATTTAAGGCTTCTGAATTATTTCTTCTGATATTGCTAACACTTGATTGCATGCTAAAATGAAAGAGAAAAATACAAAACAATTTCAAAGGTACATTTGTATGGAGGTATTTACAAATTGTAAAATCTGGTGTTATATGTAATTGGGACATGTCTTGGAAGAATTCTCCATGGTAAATCATGTTAAAATAGAGTTTTAACATTTATGTTTTATGGAGATTAACTTGGACAGGCCTACTGCAACATTCATTTTGGAAGAATGCTTTCACTAGAGAAGACAAGGAATCAAGCATGGAGGATTTCAGCTTCAGGTAGTATACACTTACCTTTGTGCATGGGGCATGCTAATGCCCATTACTGTTTTACTTCTGCAGCGTCAGTGATCTGAATTTCTATGTTTTTATAGAAGAAAATCCAGCATTTGTTTAATTAAAGATTGCTTAAAAGAGTTTAATCATGGTAACTTTGTGTTCTTGATTTTGCTCGTTTTTTGATCAATTGTTTATTCTTCAGTCATTGATTTACTATGGTAGTCATTAGCTCTATTCACTAAATATATCTGGCTTTCCACCTCCTAAGTAAACGGTAGGATCTCATGTCCCCCTTTTAAGCTAGGCGTGGTCATGTGACTTGTTTTGGCAAATGAAATGTGAGCAGAAGTGATGTGTATTATTTCCACATAGAAACTTTAAGAGCCAGTGTGTGATTTGGCACATTTCTTCCTCCTGATGAGATATGATTGGCAAGAAAAATGTCAAAATGAAGTTGCTGCCACCCTGGGTCTTGAATGACTACGATGAGCTTGGCTCTTCTGCCAGCTTTCAGTAGCTGTGTGCGTGAGTGAGGCATGAAGTTACGAGATTCTGAGCCACCAGGATTTGGCAATTCGATGTTCCCACTGCATGACCTGGCTTATCTCGCCCAATATACTTCATTTTTATTATGAAATATTCTTGGCCCAGGACACTTAGTGAGGCTATGGTGTTTAGAAAAGAGCAAGGTGAGAAGTAGTTGAATAGAGGTAAAGACCTCATAGTTGACTGAATTTTTCCCTTCAAGTCATTCAGTGGTAAATAGTTTCTTTTTTTCCTTTTTGAGACAAGATCTCATTCTGTTGACCGGGCTAGAGTGCAGTAGCGTCGTCATAGCTAACTGCAACCACAGACTCCTGGACTCAAGCAGTCCTCCTTTCTCAGACTCCCCAGTAGCTGGGACTACAGGCGTGTGCCCACCATACTTGGCTAATTTTTCTTTTTCTTTTTTTTGTAGAGATGGGTCTTGCTCTTGCTCTTCTCTGGCTGGTCTCGAACTCCTTAGCTCAAGCAACAGTCCTCCCACCTTGGCTCCCAGGGTGCTGGGATTATAGGCATGAGTTACTGTGCCTGGCCAGTTTTCTGCTTCTTAATTTTGATCTTGGCAAATTTAGTGTTCTGATTAGAGAAGTCTGAGTTCTATTTAAGATTCCTGCCAAACCTGAATTTCTGGGATCCAGTGAGCTTCAGCTAAGTTCTCCTTCTTGTTTTATGCTCTATGAGAGCTACAGAGAAGTTTGTTACAGCTTCCACCGGAAGGGGGAGCTCGTGATCTAACATCACATAAAGAAGCCAATGCAAAGGTGGTATTGGTGAACTGGGCTTTGGCCCAGGTCTGTTGGTGTTGGCAAGTGTAGGTTACAGAATACCTCTGACCCTCAGGCTGTTGTCTTTAAAATGAGAGAGAGAATTCTTGCTCTGCTTCTTTCCCCACAGGTTTGTTGGGGAAAATAGCTAATATAATTGAAAATACTTTGAAAAATATAAAAGATTAGATAAATAGTATTATCAATTCTTTGCTTTACTGTCCTTTTTTATTCTATAAGATGAATCTTTAAATCTTTGCAAGCGACTTGAGGGAATAAACTAATGTAACTTAAATTGTTAAAAGCTTTGTCTTTTAACTTCTATATATTTAGAAATTTAGGAAAAAATCTCATCACCAAGAAAAATTTTTATGTTAACTGTGAATCTCTTACATAGATAGTCATGTCATCTGCAAATAGGGACAGTCTTATTTCTTCCCTTTTGATCAATATATGCCTTTTTTTTTTCTTTTTCTTGCCTTATTGCACTTGTGAGGACTTTTCCAGTGATATATTGAATCAGGAATGATGAAAGTGGACATCTTTGCCTGGTTCCCAATTTTAGAGTGAAAGCATTCAGTCTTTCCTCATTAACTATGAGGCTAGCTAGAGGTTTTTATAGCTGCCCTTTTTCAGTTTGAATGAACGTTCAATGCTGTCAAATGCTTTTCTCTGTCATTTGACATAATCATATGGTCTTTCTTCTTTGGGCATTTACTGTGGTGACTTCCATTAATTGGCTTTCAAATATGGAGCCAGCCCTGCATTTCCCCCAAGAAACCCTATGTGGTCATGGTGTATTATAGTTTTTGTCTTGCTAGATGCCTTTTGATCCAAGTGGCAGGACAGAGAGGAAGAAAAAGAGAGGAAAAAAAGAGAGCAACATGGATTTGCCTCATGTTCTTGGAGTCATAGCTTTGGTCAGAGAGAAGGGTTCCCATCCCTTAGAGTTTCAAGCACTGGCCAGAATCTGCTGTTGTCCCCAACCGGCTGCTACAGGATTTTCTGCAGGCTGGGCGTGACAAAAGGGAGAAAGAAAAACGAGGGGGTTTTCCCTGTCTGCTGTGGCCCTGGGGGCCCCCTTTCCCATTCTTCAAAACAGAAATAGAGGGTTTCTCCTGGGGTCCTTTCTGTCCTTGTTGCCTTTGAGTCCAGGCAGGCCAGTACTAAATAAAGGGAAACTCATTGCTGGTCTTAGTGGTAGTTTGAACATTGATTTACTTCCCCGATCTGTCTGCTACCATTTATTTTTCAGGGATAAGGTTTATAGACTTCTTAGTACAATGCCTTCCATCTAGAAAGTGCTCGTTTTGGCTACTTAGAGAAAAATATTATTACTTTTCTAATTCTACAACTTTGCCAAATGTATTGTGTAATTTAATTATATTTTCCAATGTACTCAGAAAACTATAGAGCACTCCAAAGTTTGATTGTGTTGGCTTTCTCTTACTGCGTAGCAGTACCGTGAGGAAGTCTCTTGGGCCACAAGATTCCAGGGAGCTTTTGCAGAACCCCCAGAGTGGACAAGCAAAAGAGCAGAAGAGTGGTCAGGAACTAAGTCAGTCTTTCAGACGAGGTAAGCTTTCCTTTCAGGCTGCTTAGAATGCTGTTTCAGAGAGTTCCTAATTTCAGTATTATCTTTCTCTTTTTTGTCTTTCTCTTTAAATCTGTCTGTATTTTGCCTTGCTCATGATATTTTCATTCCTTTATGGACAATATGTTACTTTTCCTGCCACAGAAAATCGAACTGACTTGCGGCCTAAGAATACTCTTGGGGGTCAATTGAACGAATCCATGTTTCTTCTCAGGTATGTAAAAGGAAAAAGCAATAAGAGATCAATGAGAGATAAAAGTTCCATCTTCTTAAAGCATCTGCTGTCCTGGTGGCAAACCATGTTACACAGAGATAAAGAACAGAGATATTAATGGCAAATTCCAGTTTCACTCTGCAACTTTTTTAAAGTTACAGTTAAGTGCTGGCCAGTGGAATCTAGATTTTGCTATGTATAGTACTTTTAAAATTTTTAACCAAGCCAACTTATTTTTCCTATTTATAAGGGTTAAAGCCTCTTCATTTTGTTCTTTAACTTAAAGTAGAATTGAATTTAAAATTTCACAAGTCCAGTTTCTTTATTTGGATAAGGACTTATAGAAAAGAAAAGGTCGTGTTTTTCTTTTAAATACTTTTTAATATGTGAAGCTTAAAGAATGTTTGTAATCATGAAAGAATTAAGTCAGAGTGGTATCTTAAAGTGATTAGGACTAATGTATTTAAACATTTAATAATGTATAAATATTAAATGTATTTTAATAAACTTCTCATAGAGAAATTGTTTTATTTCTTGATAAAGGGGTTATAATGAACTAAAATTGCTTGATCTGTTTGACCCATATTTAAAAGTATAAAGTATGTTTTAATTTCTCTCTCAAAAAAAAGAAAAAGGAAAAAGAAAAAGAAAAAATACTGTATATAGCATGGAAGCTCTAAATGAAATAATAAATTAGCCAGGAAATAAACGAAATTAACAGCAATTAGAAAAATTATAATGTCATATGAACACAAATTAGAGTTTAGACTTTTTTTGTTTGTTTGTTTTTGAGATAGAGTTACCAACTCTGTTGTCCAGGCTAGAGTGCATGGCCTCAGCCTAGCCTACAGCAACCTGAAACTCCTGGGATCAAGCAATCCTCCTGCCTCAGCCTCCTGAGTAGCTGGGACTACAGGTGTGCACCATCATGCCTGGCTAATTTTTTCTATTTTCAGTAGAGATGGGGTCTTGCATCAGCAGGTTTGAAATCCTGAGCTCAAGCAGTCCTCCTGCCTGGGCCTCCCAGAGTGCTAGGATTACAGGCAGAAGCCACCACACCTGGCTAAATTTAGACTTTTTTATAAGATCATATAGAATCATATTTTTACCATTTTTCATGAGATGTGTTTCTTTTGAGAAAATAGTAATCAGAGGATAAAGTTTCTGAAATCTGGATGTTATCTGGTATGTGTTTTCAGTTCTCGTCCTACTCCAAGAACTAGCACTGTAGTGGCCTTAGGTCCTGGTGAGGATATGACTCAGAAATCACCACAGAAGGCTGCTTCTCCTTTGACTAAGGTGAGCAGAAAGGGGAATTTTTGTTTTCCATACAAAATATAGAAGCTCACAAGAATCATTATGTGATTTTTTTGATATGTGAATTATGTTCATAATTACTAAATTTATAATAATTTACCATGGATGATTGGTTTTTTACATGATGGAGGATCCCATTTAGGTGCTTCATAGTTGTTTTCTTGGTAACAGGTTTATACAGATGTAATTGACATTCCATATAACTCACCCATTCAAAGTGTACAGTTCAGGGGCTTTTAGCATATTCAGAGTTTTGCAGCCATCACCGCAATCAGTTCTGTAATTATTTCTTCATCCCACGATGAAACTGTACCCATTGGCAGTCTCCCCCCAACCCCCCCAGTTCTTCCCTATGCTTATCCTAGGCAATCACTAATACACTTTTTTTTTTTTTTTTTGAAGACAGAGCCTTACTCTGTTGCCAGGCCTAGAGTGCTGTGGCGTCAGGTAGCTCTACAGCACCTCAACTCGGGTCAAGCATCCTCCTGCCTCAGCCTCCTGAGTAGACTGGGACTACAGGTGTGGCACCATCGATGCCCGGCTAATTTTTTCTGTATATTTTTAGTTGGCCAATCAATTGCTTTCTATTTTTAGTAGAGACGGAGTCTCGCTCTTGCTCAGGCTGGGTCTCGAACTCCTGACCTTGAGCAATCTGCCCGCCTCAGCCTCTCAGAGTGCTAGGATTACATGCGTGAGCCACAGTGCTCAGCCACTAATATACTTTTTGTCTTTATAAATTTACCTATTCTGGACATTTCATATAAATATAGTCATATAATATGTGGTCTTTTGTTATTGATTTTTTCCACTTAACATGATATTTTCAAGTTTCATCCAAGTTGTAGCATGTTGTAGATTCCTTTTTATTGCCAAATAATATTATGTATACATCTTCTTATCTATTCATCACTTCCATCAATATTTGGATTGATTCTACCTTTTGGCTATGGTGAAAATACTGCTGTGAACATTTGTGTACATGTTTTTTGGGGATGTATGTTTTCATTTATCTGTGACTATACTCAAAGTTGGGATACTGTGGTATGTGATAATCTTGTTTAATTTTTCCCTCCCTACCCCTCCCCTCCCTCCGCCTCTCCCTCCCCTCCCCTCCCCTCCCTCCCCTGCGCCTCCCCTTCTTTTTTCTTAGGCACAGTTCCCGTGTTGCCTGGTAGAGGTGCCCTGGCATCAGCTAGCTCACAGCAAATCAAAACTTCCTGGGCTGATTGATCTTTCTCCTCAGCCTCCCAAGTAGCTGCGACTACAGCATGGACCACCATGCCCGGCTAATTTTTCCTATTTTTTTAGTTGACCAATTAATTTCTTTCTATTTTTAGTAGAGACGAGGTCTCGAGACAAGGTCTCGCTTCTTCCGGCTCCAGGCTGGTTTTTCGAACCCTGACTGAGCGATCCTTCCACCTTGGCCTCCCAGAGTGCATGTTTTACTTTTTGAGGAACTGCCAAACTGTTTTCCAAAGCAGCTGCAATATTTTACATTCTCACCAGCAGCGTATGAGAGTTCCAATTTTTACGTATCTGTACTAACATTTATTATTTTTTGTCATTTTAAAAAGAATTGTAAAATACACATAAAATTTACCATTTTGACCATTTCTAGGTTCAGTGGCATTAAGTATATTCACACTCTTGTGCAACCATCACCACCATTTATCTCCAGAACTTCTTAATCTCAGATTGGAACTCTACCTGTAAATAACTCCCCATTTTCTATTCCCCTCAGCCTCTGGCAACCACCATTCTACTTTCTGCATGGGTGGATGTGATACCTAGAATAGCTAGGTATCTTGTATAAGTGGAGTCATACAGTATTTGTTCTGTTATGTATGGCTTATTTCACTTAGCATAATGTCTTTAAGGTTTGTGCATGTTGCATCTACCAGAATGTCATTCCTTTACAAAACTGAATAATACTCCCTTTTGTGTATGTATATACTGCATTTTGTCTTTCCATCTGTTGATGGACATTTGGGTTGCTTCCACCTTTTGGCTATTGTGAATAATGCTACATTGTCTGTCTTTTTGATTTTAACCATACTGTTTCAAACCCTAGTGTGTATGAAATTCTATGTCTTTGTGGTTTTGATTTGCATTTACCTGATAGATATTAAATATCTTTTCATGTACATATTTCAGATTCTTTACCTATTTTTAGTTGGGTTATTTATCTTTCAATTGTTTAGTTGTAGAAACTTTTTCCCCCATATTTTAGATTTATGATTTGTAAAAATTTTCTCCCATTATCTGGGTTGACCTTTGAAGCACAAAGATTTAAATTTTCATATAGTCTAAGTTATCACTTTTGTGTGTGCATTTTGTTGGTGTTTGTGCTTTTGGTGTCATATCTAAGAAACCATTGGCTGCTCCAAGGTCATGAAGGTTTCTACCCATGTTTTCTTCTAAGAGTTTTATAGTTATACATTTAGATCTTTTATCCACTTGAGTTAATTTTTACATCTGGCATGAGGGTACAGGGTCCAGCTTCATTGTTTTGCATGTAGATATCCAGTTGCCTCAGCATCATTTGTTGAAAAGATCTTTCTTTCCCCATTGAATTGTCTTAGCAGCCTTGTTGAAAATCAGTTGACTGTAAATGTGAGGGTTTATTCCATTTCTGGACTTTATTCCATTATTCTGTTCGTCTGTCCCTAAGCTGGTAGCATACTATTTTGATTATTGTAGCTTTTCAGTTTTAATATCAGGAAGTATGACTCCTCCAACTTTTTTTTTTTTTCGGGGTTGGTTTGGCCATTGTGGGTCCCTTGCGTTTCCATATGACTTTTAGGATTGGTTTCTAAGCTTCTGCAGAGAAGTCAGCTGGGGTTTTAATAGCAATTGCGTTGAATCTGTAGATCAATTTAGGAAGTATTGCCATCTTAACAATATTAAGCTTTTATCTCTGAACACTGGATGTCTTTCTACTTATGTAGGTCTTGAATTTCTTTCAATCATAGTTGTTTTGAATGCAGAAATACTTTGAATTAAATAAGTTTTTCTAAGTGATTTTTTTATTCTACTTAGTTTTTATTATAATTTTTTTTGTAATGTGAAATGTATTTGGACCATGTAAAACTTAATTGCTTTTAAGTTTAATGTAAGTATTACAATAAAATTTACCTGCTACTTTTTTTGGTTATATGTGAAATAGAAAATCAGTATAAAAATAAAAGCATTCTGAAAAATGATAGATGTTGAAGCTGTTCTGGCAGGTGGTTATTGTGGATGAGTGATCATTTTATTGAGAAAATTTAATCAATAATTAAATACATAAGATAGTTAATGTTTTATAATCTTTAAATGATTTTATTCAGTGACAAAAATCTATAGTTGTAGAAAACTTGGAAATTGTAAAAGAGGACAAAGAAAATAGGAAAATATAAGATAATCATGCAGAATGAACACTGATTACATTTTGATATTTCAAATTCTGGTTTTATAAATGTTCATTTTCAAATAAGGGAACATAATTTTATAACTTAATTTTTTCATTTAATGATTATGATCTCATTGCAATTATTGATCACTTAGTTTATTCGAGCATTTTATTTTTTGATATAAATGGAATATTGTTATAAGTTGTCATTTGTGCATATGTTTGATTTACATATAAGAAATTATTTTTACATAGAAATTTTCTAATTGGCCTATCTTCCTAATTCTTATATTACTTCTAATTTTTTAGTTGATGAATTTTGGTTTTCTGGGTGCTTAGTTATATCATCTACATATAAAGATAATTTGGTTACCTCTTTCAAATACTGATGTCTTATTTTACTCTGTGGACTAATATAATTTACTAGCAGTTCCTACACAGTCTTAAATCAGCAGGAATATCCAGCCTTTTGCTCTGTTATTCATTCATTCATTCATTCATTCATTCATTCATTTTGAGACAGAGTCTCACTTTGTTGCCCAGGCTAGAGTGATGTTGTGGCATTAGCCTAGCTCACAGCAACCTCAAACTCCTGGGCTCCAGCAATCCTGCTGCCTCAGCCTCCCAAGTAGCTGGGACTACAGGCATGTGCCACCATGCCCGGCTAATGTTTTTCTATATATATTAATTGGCCAATTCATTTCTTTCTATTTTATAGTAGAGATGGGGTCTCGCTCTTGCTCAGGCTGGTTTTGAACTCCTGACCTCGAGCATCCGCCTCGGCCTCCCAGAGTGCTAGGATTACAGGCGTGAGCCACCGCGCCCGGCCTGCTCTGTTATTTTTTAAGTGGGGGTTGTCCTGCTATGATGCCCAGGCTGGAGTTCAGTAGCTGTTCTCAGGTGTGATCATCATAGTGTACGACAGCCTCAAGCTCCTGCTCTTAGCAGTTCTCCTGCATCAGCCTCCGAGTAGCTGGGACTACAGGTGCATGCCACCACACCTGGCTTCTGCTCTGTTACTGACTTCTCTCCTTTTTTTTATTTTTTTGTGGCAGAGTCTCACTCTGTTGCCCAGGCTAGAGTGCCCTGGCGTCAGCCTCGCTCACAGCAACCTCCAACTCTTGGGCTCAAGCAGTCCTCCTGCCTCAGCGTCCTGGGTAGCTGGGACTACAGGCACTTGCTAATTTTTTCTGTATATTTTTAGTTGGCCAATTAATTTCTATTTTTAGTAGAGACGGGGTCTCTCTCTTGCTCAGGCTGGCCTGAACTCTTGACCTTGAGCGATCCTCCCGCCTCGGCCTCCCAGAGTGCTGGGGACTTCTCTCCTTTTATTCTGCCCCCTCCCTCACCCAAGACACCATCCTCTTCATCCAGACCATCTCAGTAACCTACTGATGTGTCTCCCCAGTTCTCCATTGCTCGCTTCCAATCCATTCTCTGCTGAAGCCAGTGTGACGTGACGTGTGTGTGTATAAAATTTTTAAAAATAACTTTATTAATTACAATTGTCATCTTCTTGGGCAGTGCCAGGTATTGTTTTAAATGCTCTAAGGTTACTCTTCACAATCCTGAAAAGTTGTTGGGTTTAATCTTCATTATAGATGAAGAAAATAAGGCTTTTTTGTTTAATGTTCTTAAGTTCACACCGTTAACATATGGCAGTGTAAGTCTACCCATCATTTGTCTTGAAAGTCCGTGTTCTTAACCTTAGGAAAAAATTTTCTTCCTTTTTTTTTCTTTTTTTTTAATGCGAAGTTCTTCCTTACTGTGTTTTTTTTAAGTGTCTTTTTTCTGAGTTACAAGGATGCCCTTGGTTTCCAGGAACTTTATTAGCTAACTCTTTATCTACATCCTTCTCCCCACTCAGTTTTGGATTATTTTGTTTTCTTACTCTTTATTTCCCTAATTTGCTTTTTTGTTTTATTCAGCTTGCTAGTCATTGTTTTGAATGGATTCTTAATGCATGAATCCTTTCTTTTTTTCCTGGATATGAAATACTAAGGGAGAGCCCTAGGAATAAAACTTTTGTTTAAATAGAACAAAAAGAAATATTTCAAAGGAATAACTAATGGTGAACTCTGGTTACTAATTTTGTTGTGTATCAACTCTAACTAGGTTTAACAAATATAAAGGGGTTTAACACTTAAGGTAGTAGGTCAGTGCTTCAGTCTGAATTTTTTTTTATGTTACAACTTTAACTTCTTACCTAATATTCTGAAAGCAGAAACAAATTGATTAGTGTTCTATAAATGAAAGATAAAAGCCATGCTGGTAATCGAAAAACCAATTTGCCTCTTCACTGTTTAGAACGTCAAACTATAAAGATCTATTTTGTAGTCTTAATCAGCCTTAGTGGTAAACATAAGGGATTCAGTTACTTCCTTTGAGTTTTGTTTTTTTCATCTGTAAAATGGGAATAATGATACATACAGTGTAGGATTTTCGTAAAGATCACATGAGTCTGTGAAAGTGTTTTGAATAGTAATCGAAGTACATTGATAACCGGTGACCTTCTATGACGGCGTCTTCCTCAGCATCTTATCAGCTCAGTCCTCTAACGCTCTTCACTAGAAACAGAAACAAAGTCTAATTTTTGTTCACGTTTCAGATTACAAGTGGACACCTGAGTCAGCAGGACCTGGAATCCCTGATGAGAGAGCTTATCTACACAGACTCAGATCTTGTCATCACCCCAATTATCGACAACCCGAAGGTGTGGAAAGATACCGAAACAACTGAATTTTAGACTTTGCTGTGGTCTGAAATCGGCATGACATTTTCATTCAGAATATTTCTTGCCTTGTTTTCTTTCCTGTTCCTCTTGTTGTCTGCTTCTATTTCATTTGTGTCACCTGCCTGCATTTCCAGCTCCTGCCCTGTCTGTAACCCTCTCCTTTTTCCTTCACTTTCACTTCCCTGGAGTGGAGGTTTCTCCCCACTGTTCTTAATGCGTTAGCTCTGCCTTTCATTACCGCCCTTGTCATGTGCTGAGGAGTGCTGCCGACTCTGTGACCTCAGACATTGGCTCTCCGTCCCTTCATTTCTCCATACGTACTTAATGCAGTTCACTCCAGATGAACAGTGGCTGATGTATTGTGAAGGCAGATGTCAGGGGCCACTGCTCATCAGGCGGGGATGGGCGGGTCGCACAGAAATCCTACTCTCTTAGGTTGTTAGGACCCTAGGGTGGAGGGTGGCAGGACACCATGGGGCTTGGGGAGCCCTGGTTCATAACACACTTCTAACCCAGTGTGAGTTTTATGTTTCATGTCTTTTGGAATGTAACACTATATTACTAGGGGATGATGAGTGCTCCCCTTTAAAGAAAATTAATTTCTCAGTCTCTCTGTTTTCTCTTGATTTCCAGCCCTCAACATTCATTCCACCACCTATTCTATATTTTAATTTTTAGTTTTCCTGCTTTTCAAAAAAATGGCTTTTTTCTGTATTGATTCATGACCGTTTCCTCTTATCTGATTGTGAAACATTATTGTGGTTCAGACCAAATGGGTTCTTGGATTCGTGTTTATTTCCTAGGTAGACAACAGTTCCTATAGATTATTTAGCTATTTTTCATAACGGAGCTAATTCTTTTTGTAAGTTCAGATGTCTGGCAGAGTAACTGTATATGATGTTAAGTTTGTTGGGTAATGGGGCAGTTCCATGGTGGGCTTTCTGGAACAATTTGTGATGTCTTTTGACCCGATTCTATGTTTGCTTTATTTCCTTTTATAACATACTTGGTAGTTTCTGGGAAACCTTAGTAGAAATTTTGCTTGTTTAACTTTCTATTTAATTTATTTCATTTTTATTTTTTTTGGAGACAGAGTCTCACTTTGTTGCCCAGGCTAGAGCGAGTGCTATGGCATCAGCCTAGCTCACAGCAACCTCAGTCTCTTGGGCACAAGCAATCCTTCTGCCTCAGCCTCCCGAGTAGCTGGGACTACAGGCATGCGCCACCATACCTGGATAATTTTTTCTATATTTTTAGCTGTCCAATTAATTTCTTTCTATTTTTGGTAGAGACGGGGTCTCGCTCTTGTTCAGGCTGGTCGCAAACTCCTGAGCTCAAACCATCTGCCTGCTTTGGCCTCCCAGAGTGCTAGGATTACAGGCGTGAGCCACCGCACCTGCCCTAACTTTCTATTTTAAACTACACTTAGAGAAAAAGGTTCAAAGACAAGAGAGTCCCTATATACCTTTTACCTAGCTGTTCTTAATGTTAACATCTTATAGGAGCAGAGTACAGTTACTAAAACCCAGGAATTAACATGGGTACAGTGCTCTTAACTAAACTATCAAATTTATTTGAATTTGTCAGTTGTGCCACAAATGTTATTTTTTTGTTCCAGGATCCCACATTATAGTTATTTGTTTTGCCTATTTTGTCTCGTAGTCTTTGTCTGTGTCTTTCATGGCCTTGTTAGGATTTCCCAATCTTTACTTGTCTTCATGACCTTGACACTTTGAAGAGTAACTGACCAGGTATTTTGTGTCCCTTAATGTGGGGTAGTCTAAGGGTTTCTCATGATTAGAATGAGATGATGAATTTAGATTGTGAGGTTAGAATGAGAATATGCATTTTTGGCAAAAGTGCTGCAGTAAATATAGTAATATTGGTACTTACTGTACCGATAAAGGTTTTTAAAATGTTATATATAGAGGTTTTGGAGAAGTTAGATGTAGAAATGATAGTTGAATTTTTAGTTAAAAGTCTTAAGATGAAGTATCTGGCTGTTCCAAACTCAAAAATCCAATTACATGGTTTCTCTACTTTCCGCAAATAAATCCTGAACTTTGTTATTCATGCTGTTCCAGCTTCTTAGAATGGTGTCTTCTTTAATATAAATAACTATCAGGTCCTAACCATTCTTCAAGACTTTAGTCCACCTTCCACCTCTTCCATAAATCCTATCCTAACCACATCAGCCTAAAAGTGTTTGCTGTATTCTCTGTTCTTTTAAAGAAATTTCTTTCTGTGAAATGTTTCATTTGTAATTATGTCCTGCCTATTGCACATAGTTACTTTAAATATTTTATGTTTTATTGTTTAACAACCATTCGTGTCGTGTCATCTTTCCAACTAGAGTATCAGCTCTCTAATAGGATTGTGTCTTTGATATCTTTGTATCCCTCTTAGCATAGTGCCTCACCCTGGCAAGCACAAAATAAATATTTGTTGAATGACTAAAATTCTAACCTGGAGATAAATTAGCTAAAAGTGTAAGTCAAGATAGGGTGAAATTTTTCTGTGAAGCTCAGTTTTATTGCAGATATCAATTGAAATGCTTAAAAGTGGGGGCCGGGCGTGGTGGCTCACGCCTGTAATCCTAGCTCTCTGGGAGGCCGAGGCGGGCGGATTGCTCAAGGTCAGGAGTTGGAAACTAGCCTGAACAAGAGCGAGACCCCGTCTCTACTATAAATAGAAAGAAATTAATTGGCCAACTAATATATATAGAAAACATTAGCCGGGCATGGTGGCGCATGCCTGTAGTCCCAGCTACTCGGGAGGCTGAGGCAGCAGGATTGCTTGAGTCCAGGAGTTTGAGGTTGCTGTGAGCTAGGCTTATGCCATGGCACTCACTCTAGCCTGGGCAACAAAGCGAGACTCTGTCTCAAAAAAAATAAAAAAAAAAAGCTTAAAAGTAATTTACCTATATTCATATATATTTTAATCTGAAAGAATATTTTTGAGTTATTCTTTTTGGTGACACATTTTATAGCATTCTCTTTTGCCCTTAATTGATTTATAATCTGATGTAAGAGACATATCAGGAGACAGGTATCTGTCTCAAAAGGCATCTCAAAAGTTGTTTTTTTTTTTTCTAACCACAGATACTGAAACAACTGCCAATTAAATTTGATCCAAAAATATTGCATCTACCAGCACATTCAGGTAGGATCATAAAGGGCTTATCAAACATGCAGACTCTTTGTATACAGATACAAACATGAAATTTATTTGCAAATGGAATATTTGTGGGCACATAATTTCCTGTTTTCTGGCCAATTGGCTATATTCTTAGGGTAGCGTTATGTAAATTGTAAATAATCTGTAATCCATCTGTGCCAGCCTATGACATTACTCAGCTGAGTCTGGGCTGCCCTGTGCTCTTGTGGGTGGGGAAGTTCCTGTAGAGCTGGGCAAGTTTCCCTGTGGAGTGGGTGGGGTTGGGGGGGCGCCTCCTGACCTTCCCATGTAGAACATTAGAATTTCTACCGTTGATGGTGCTGGTGTGGGTACACGGGGTTGGGGACCACAATGGAGAATTGGGATTCTACTCAAGGGATCAGGGCAGTTGAGAACAGGGCTAGGTAGTTCACTTCCGTGGGGATGGTGGGGCATGCAGATGCTGAAAGGATGATCGTTATGTTTCTGTTCAACTAATGAAAGTCTTATTTAGGGCGAACATCAGAAATTGTTACGTACGTTAAATTGATTTGTTTGGCAATTTATGTATTTAATATTAAGCCATTAAACTATTCTTGTTCATGGCTAGAGTAGAACCCATGATCTGAAGTAAACTTAGTATATTCAGATTTAAATAAACCAACTAATGGTTTATATTGGTCAACTTAATTACTGATAAAAAACAAAGAAGAAACCATATAGAAGGACATTTTTGAAAACCCAGAGTGGAGCAAAACATTGTTAATAATGCTTTCAGTGCCAAGTAGAACCATTATTTAAGAAAACCTAGAAATCTTTTTCTTTTTACTTTTGAGCTATTTAGGAAATTATATTTACAATTTGTTTAAAGATCAAAAAAATGTCCTAATTTTAGATGGCATCTCACTTCCTAATCTTTGACTTTTTTTTAAGGATCTAGAGTTAGGAATTCCAGGTGATTTCAGGTCTGATGTTAATGTGGTTATTTTTAACTCTCATTTTATTGGGATTTTTTTTTTCACAGCTGTAGAATTTCTGATTTTTTTCAATATTTTAGGGCTGAGTTGATTTATTTATGCAAAGGCTGTCTTGTTTTCTTTTATTACAATTTTATTTAACTGTAGATTTTGTTGTATTTTAGGTTGTGAGACAATTCTCCTTTAGGCATTTATTTTCTTTTTTGGAGCTTAGTTTCCCATTGAAGTAGCTAAAAAATTGTCCATGGGTAGAAACAGAGATGAGGAATAAAGACAAAAATAGTGTCATCTTTGGAGAATTTTTGGCTTTGACAGTGCAATTTTACAGTTTTCTTTGTCCTCATCTTAACTTGACTTTCTGTGTTTATTTCTCGCGTAATGTTTCTAGCAATTCTTTTTGGCATCATACACACTTTGATTATTTTATTTCCTCTGCAGTGGATAAGTTGTTATTTCTGAAAGACCAAGATTGGAATGACTTTTTGCAACAAGTGTGTTCGCAGATAGACTCCACTGAGAAGAGTACTGGAGCCTCCAGAACCAAGCTGAATCTCCTTTGCTATTTATGTGTGGTGGCTGGTCACCAGGAGGTGGCCACCAAGCTCCTCCATTCCCCCCTGGTAGGGCTCTGGGATGTGCCTTTATGTTGCTTAACTTCTGTGTTTCTATATAGGTTAAAACAAGTGCTAAAGTATTAATTTGATTTGAGTACAATTAAAAGAGTGATTTATCATTATTACACTTTGATGATTATTGTTTGTTTTTCCTTGGGTCTAAAAGCAGTTGAGTAGATGGCACTTTGCAGTTTTTTTTTTTTTTTGTAATACTTAGCTTTGCATTTTATGTTAACTTGTAATAATTGTAAAATATTTCTTATATCTGAAATCATAAGAGACATTCTCATTAGTGGCTGGAGTGAACTGCCCATGTGGAATAGGGGGCTCCTTTATAATGCAGTTTTCAAGCTGGTGAACTGTAAGGTTTCTGATGTAACATTGAAGAGAAACATCAAGTCTCCAGGATGTTTTTTTCTCTTCCCCCTGGGAATATCACTTCTTGGGCTGTCTTGGTTCATTGGGAAACTTATAGGAATTTGTCAGAGCTTTTGGATCCTCAGAAAGGAATTACAGTGGTTTTGGAGGTGTTTTTTAGAGTGGACCCTGATTTGGGGACTGGGTTCAAAAAATTCAAGTTCATTTGCTTCCAAGATTGTAATAAGGATACTTTTTTGGGTAGTCCGTGTGTGTCTTTTGGGTGGGAATAGACATTTAGGGAATATAAAGTGGTAGGAGAAACTAAAAGTACTGTTCTTAGTTTTTATTTGTATACTAATACTTTTGCCTGTTTGTAAATAATCTCCTTGTGGCACGATTTACATTTGAGTTCTATAAAGGTCTGATTTCTTAGAGGTCACATTTTGTGTTTCATGGATTAAATGTACATTTTAATTTTTCATCCTAGTTCCAGTTGCTAATCCAGCATTTGCGAATAGCTCCAAACTGGGATATGTAAGTAACATTTATACTTTAAAAATTATTCTTTATGATTTTATTAAGTAATGCAACATACATATTTATGAAAAGAACAGAGTCCTAAATAATTATCAGAAATTATTCTGAAGTATTGATGACTCTGACTCACAGGCAATTTCTGTAGGCATCTCAATTATAAATTTTAAAAGAAGATTTAAAAATAGCCATTATCCTAATGTTGTATACATGATTCTGGGATTATCCTAATTACCCCTGGAAACTTTATTAACTGTTACTTTTTAAAGTATTTGTTATAAAATACGTTAACTCTCATCTCTGTATTTTAATTCAGTGATACTTCTAGGAGTTTTCCCTTTGTCACTTGTGTCTTTTCTTCATGCAGCACATAACTTTCCTTTGATGTTATTTATAGTCTCTTGGGATTATGATTTATAAACTCCTGATGGAAAGAAACGTACTTATTTTTTATGGAAGCAGTATGCCAGGGTGAAAAGCATGCTAGATAAAGTGTTAGAACACTCTGGGTTCTGGTTGCCAATGAGACTTGGCCAAATGATTTCCTTTTCTTTTTATTTATTCATTTTTTTTTTTGTAGAGATAGGATCTCACTCTGTCGTCTGGACTAGAGTGCAGTGGGATGATCATAACTCAATGCAGCCTTGAACTCCTGGGCTTAAGCCATCCTCGTACCTTTGTCTCTGGAGTAGCTAGGACTACAGTTGTGGGCTACCACGCCCAGCTAATTTTTTCTTATTTTTTGTAGAAACAAGTTCTTGCTCTGTTGCCCAGGCTGGTCTTGAACTACTGGGGACAAGTGATCCTCCCACCTCAGCCTCCCAAAATATTGGGATTATAGGCATGAGCCACTGCGTCTGGCCCCTCTTGCTGAATCTCTGCTTCCTGGGCAATCTATGGGACAAGAAAAAGGCATAGGTTTAGGATTCAGACAGACCTGGGTGTGGATCACAGATCTGCCCCCTTGGCAAATGCTTTAACTGCTGAGCCTCAGCTTTTTCATCTGTAAAGTAGGGACAGCATAACCACCTAAATTGTTGGTAATAATTAAACCTTGAATGAGATAAATACATGAAATACCTTGTATGGTGCCTTGTTCTTAGTGCTTAACATACGTTGGAGATGTGAAAGTTGTAGTTATCTTTAAGCTACCTTATCTCTTATGATTGTTAGGAGGAGTATGTGAAAAAATGGAGGTGAAAGGATTTTGTGAATTGTGGTAGTGGTATGATAATTATTCTTTCGTGCTGGCGAAATATGAGGGAAACAATAGAGGTTCACAAAATGCTTCTTTGGGTGATTATTCTTATGCATCTTCTAATGTTACTCTCCTGAAGTAAAATCTGATTTTACAAAACAGTATTTCTAGGTAATGGTTGAGCATTTAACTACTTTAAGAAGATTTATGGTATGCTCATTAAAAATAAACCAGTGAAATCTTTATTTAAACACTTTTATTTAAATCTTAAAAGCTATATCCTTGAGTGGGGTGCCCCCTGCTGACATTTTAAAGCAGGCATTCTTAATCCTTTCCAATCCCATCCCTGGTATCCACCTGGGATTGATTCTGGGAGCCCCAGGGATACCAAAATCCACAGATTTTTTATTTTAATTGTTAAAACTTAAGCTCCATTGTAAAAATAGTTTTAACTTGAGGAAAATGATAAGTAGTAAGGTAGATAAGTCCTCTGCTAGGATCGTTCTTTTATTCTCTTTCTCCATTGACACACCATTTCCTCCAGTGAGCCCTTTCTCTGACTCCCAGATTATATTACCTTGATATTACCTTGATTACCTTGATACCTTATATTACCTTGATGGTAAAGTTCCTTAAGTTAGCCTGAGGGATAATCACTATTGAAGTAGATATATTTATTCCTTAGCTTTGTTCTGCATATCAAAAAACAAAATTAGAATCACATGATATAATTTTATAGTTTTCTCCCTATAACATATATATTACATATTTTTAATGTCATTAATAATTTGCCTAAGATGTTTATAAGGTATTCCTTTTTTATGTTGTGAATATATGATCATTTTGTTTATCCTATAATATATTTAGATGCTATTATAATATTGTAAACAATATTTAATGAACATTTTTGTGCTTAAGTCTTTGTATATGCTTTCTTTCTCCCCTTAGGGCTCATTCATAGAATTAGAACAAATGGTAGAAGGCAATAAACACTTTTGTGACTTTTGATACATTGTAATGTGCTGTTCAAAAACATAATACCAACATGTAGTCCCAATGTGTTTAAAAATGATCTTTTGTTAGAATTTTCAATATTGATTATTTATCAAATTTTATTTTACTTTAGAGACAGGGTCTTGCTCTGTCACCCAGGATAGAGTGCAGTGGCCTGATAGTAGCTCACTGTATCCTTGAATTTGTGGGCTCAAGCAATCCTCCTGCCTTAGCCTCCTTAGTAGCTGAGATTATAGGCATGTACAACTATGCCCAGCTAATTAAAAAAACTTTTTTTTTTTTGCAGAGATAGGGGGGTTTTGCAATGTTGCCCAGGCTGGTCTTGAACTCCTGGCCTCAAGCGAATCCTCCTGCCTCTCCCTTCTAAAGTGCTGGGATCACAGGCATGAGCCACCATGCTCAGCCTATCAAATTTTAATCCTTCCTTGCCAATCAACTTTATGAGGTATTATTCACATACAGCAATGGTATAATATTTTAATTAAAAAAATTTTAGGCCGGGCGCGGTGGCTCACGCTTGTAATCCTAGCACTCTGGGAGGCCGAGGCAGGCGAATTGCTCGAGGTCAGGAGTTCAAAAAACCAGCCTGAGCGAGACTCCGTCTCTACTATAAAAATAGAAAGAAATTAATTGGCCAACTAATATATAAATATATATATAAAATTAGCCGGGCATGGTGGCTCGTGCCTGTAGTCCCAGCAACTCGGGAGGCTGAGGCAGGAGGATTGCTTGAGCCCAGGAGTCTGAGGTTGCTGTGAGCTAGGCTGACGCCACGGCACTCACTCTAGCCTAGGCAAGAAAGCGAGACTCTGTCTCAAAAAAAAAAAAATTTATTAGTTGTAAATTATGCATAGCATAAATTTATCATTGTAGCCATTTTTAAGTGTATGAAGGCATTAAGTACATTCACATTGTTGTGCAACTATCACCACTATTCATTTTCAGAACTTTTTCATCCTCTCAAACATAGATTCATTAGCCATTAAATAATAATGTCACCTTTTCCTGCTCAAGGCCTGGTCACCTATATTCTACTTTCTATGTCTATGAATTTGCTTAGTGTGGGTATCTCATATATGTAGAATCATAGAATATTTATCTTTTGTGTCTGGTTTATTTCACTTAATGTTTTCAAGGTTCACCAATATTATAGCATGTGCCAGAATTTCCTTCCTTTTTAAGGCAGAATAATTACCCATTTCTTGTATATACCATATTTTGTCTGTCTTTTCATCTATTCGTTGTTTCTACTTTTTGGCTATTATGAATAATTCTGCTATGAACATTGTTGTTTTCTAGGGGTTTTTATTCTGCTTATTTTTGGATAATAGCTATTCTGATGGGTGTGAAGTAGTATCTCATGGTTTTGATTTACATTTCCTTTATGACCAGTGATGAGTATTTTTTTATCTGAATTTGGTTATTTGTATATTTTCTTTGGAGAAATGTCTGTTCAAGTCTTTTGCCCATTTTTGAATCAGTTTGTTTTATGTTGTTGAGTTCTTTATATATTCTGGATATTAACCCCTCATCAGAGAAATAATTACAAATATTTTCTCCCATTTGGTTGCTTGCCTTTTTACTGTGTTATAGTGTCCTTTGATTAAAGTTTGATTAAAGTATTTAATTTTGATGAGACTCCAGTTCATCTATTTTTTTCTTTTGTTGCCTGTGCTCTTGGTGTCATATTAAAAAAAATCATTGCCAAATCAATGTCATAAAGTTTTCCTTCTGTGTTTTCTTCTAAGAGTTTTATAGTTTTAGCTTTTATGTTTAGGTCTTTGATTCATTTTGAATTAATATTTGTATACAGTATAAAGTATAAGGGTCCGACTTCATTTCTTTGCATGTGCATATCCAGTTTTGCCTATACCATTTGTAGAAAAGACTACTTTTTTTCCCATTGAATGATCTTGGCACCCTTGTTGGGAATCATTTGCCCATATATGGGAGGGTTCGTTTCTGACCTCTTTATTCTATTTCATTGGTATGTGTGTCTGGCTTATGCCAATACCACACTGTCTTGATTACTGTAGCTTTGAAGTAAGTTTTGATTGGTAAGTGTGAGACTTCTGACTTTGTTCTTCATTTTCAAGATTGTTTTGGCTATTTGGGGGTTCCTTGAGGTAAGAATTTTAGGAAGGACTATTTTATTTTTTAGTATAAAGTTTTATTATACTTCAGTAAGGTAAAGTAAATGCTTGTCAGTTTTTTTTTTTTTTAAACACAATTTCTCTGTTCCTTTGCTCCAGTCATCTCTTAGTTGATTGGATTTTATCATTTGATAGTTTTGTTTGTTTTTTAATTTCTAAGAAGTGGCTCACCTCTATGTCACACTTTGGAGTTGGTGCTCTCTCCCCTGTGCTGACTGGGGCCAACCTCACTTTTTCCTCCTCATGTGTTTTGTTTGATTTTGCTTTTCATTGTCTGAGCTTTTCTTTATTATTCCAGGCCTGTGAAATTTCACTAGAACTAGATTTTACTAGGAATCTCTTTTTACTAATTTGCTTCAGCAGGATTTAAAGGATTAAATTTAAAGGATTAAATTCTTCATCCTTTCTTTAGCTTTTCTATTATTTCTTTATGATTTCTTTTTCACTATTCCATCATTTTCCCATTTTTGAAACTCCTGTAGGATGAGTGTGGGATAGAAGAGTCTTTTGGCTCTTCTCTCAATTTTTCTTTGGCTTTCTCACTTTATCTTTTTTTATTGAGATATAGTTGACATACCATAAAATTCACCTTTTTAACATGTAGATTTCAGTGTGTTTTAATATATTCAAAGTGGTACAACTATCACTACTATCTAATTTCAGGATATTTTTATCACCTAATGAAATCCTGTGCCCATTCTTCCTGCGCCTGGCAATGACTGATCCACTTTCTTTCTGTTGATTTCCCTATTCTGGACAGTGCATGTAAATGGAATCTTATACTATATGGCCTTTTGTGTCTAGTGTCTGTCATTTAGCATAATGTTTTCAAGGTTCATCCATATTGTAGGACGTATCAGTGCTTGATTCTTTTTATAGCTGGATAATATCCCCTTGTGTGGACAGACTACATTTTGTTTATCCATTCTTGATGGACATTAGGGTTGTTTCCACATTTGGCTGTTAGGAATCAATGCTGCTATGAACATTTGTCTACAAGATTCTGTGTGAACATATGTTTTTATTGCTCTTGGATATATAGCTAGTAGTGGAATTGCTGGATCATATGGTAACTCTTTGTTTAACCTTTTGAAGAACTGCCAAACTCTCTCTCATTGATCTTTCTTTTTTTTTGAGACAGAGTTTCACTCTGTTGCCCTGGCTAGAGTGCTGTGGCGTCAGCCTAGCTCACAGCAACCTCAAACTCCTGGGGTCAAGCAATCCTTCTACCTCAGCCTCCCGAGTAGCTCCGACTACAGGCATGCACCACCACCAGGCACATCTAATTTTTTCTATTTTTGGTAGAGATGGGTGTCTCATGCCTTTGCTCAGTCTGGTCTCGAACTTCTGAGCTCAAACGATCCACCCGCCTCGTCTTCCCAGAGTGCTAGGATTACAGGCCTGAGCCACCGCGCCCGGCCTTATTGCTCTTTATATGTGAGCTCTCCAGGTTGGTATTTATCCCTGCTCATTTTATAATCTCTAATTTTTTTTATTTGAACAATCATATTTGCAAGGTTTTGTTCTTGTTCTGATGGCCCTTTTTCTAGCTGCCTACATTCAGTGTATATTTAATTAGCATGTTGATACATTTTTATTTTGGTTCAATAAATCTAGTAGCTGATATTTAATTTAATAGATTGAAAATGATTCAGTGTTTCATACATATTTTGAGCTTGTCTTTGAAAAGAGAGAAATAAGTTTTGTTTCATATGTTTTACTTCATGAGTGTTTGATAATAAGCACATCTGCTTTATAATTGTAAAAACATTCTTTTTTTTTTTTTGAGACAGAGTCTCGCTTGTTGCCCAGGCTATAATGAGTGTCATGGCGTCAGCTTAGCTCACAGCAACCTCACACTCCTGGGCTCAAGTAATCCTTCTGCCTCAGCCTCCCGAGTAGCTGGGACTACAGGCATGTGCCACCATGCCAGGCTAATTTTTATATATATATATTAGCTGGCCAATTAATTTCTTTCTATTTTATAGTAGAGATGGGGTCTTGCTCGTGCTCAGGCTGGGTTTCGAACTCCTGACCTTGAGCAATCCGCCTGCCTCGGCCTCCCAGAGTGCTAGGATTACAGGCGTGAGCCACCGCGCCCGGCCTGTAAAAACATTCTTAGATGTTAACCAAGCTGCCCCTTTAAATTGCACACGTGGAAATTGAAGGATAATTTACTTGCTATTGTCAGTAGCTGATTAGTGGCAAAGCTGTGGCTGGATTTTTTTTTTCAACTCTTGGTCCAATATCCTACAAGTATTTTTGAAAATGATTACTTTTAAAGTATAATCTTTTTATTTAGAGGTGGAATGCTAATCATAACAATGCCTAGGACTTGTTTAATCTGTTGTATATGTTAAGAGATTTGAATGGGCAATTCAAAAAGTGTTGAAATTCATAAGAATTATTTCTGTGTGTTAGAGCTGTGATAACACATACATTTTCTCTGTGATATTTCTTAGTCTGATTTGTTTCCCTCCATGGGCCCTGCATAGGTTTATTTTAAGAACCTAAAAAATAAGGCTTTCTGGTTAATGTACATACTGATTAGCCCGGACAACATGCATCACCAAATGAGTGCGGTTCTCATCAACTCACCAGTTTTTTTTTTTTCAATTAAAAAAAATCTTATCAAAAGGAAATTTCTGTATGAAATACTTTTACACATCACACTAAAGTGTTTCTTTTGTTTTGTTTTTGAGAGAGTCTCGCTCTGTTGCCTGGGCTAGAGTGCCATGGCATGGGCCTCGCTCACAGCAACCTCAAACTTCTGAGCTCAAGCGATCCTCCTATCTCAGCCTCCCGAGTAGCTGGGACTACAGGCATTGGCCACCACACCAGGCTAATTTTTTTTTTTTTTAATTTTTAGTTGCCCAGCTAATTTTTTTTTTTCCCCTATTGTTAGTAGAGATGGGTGTCTCACTCTTGCTCAGGCTGGTCTTGAACTCCTGACCTCAGGTGATTCTCCTGTCCTGGTCCTCAGGTGATCATCCTGTCCAAAGTGCTGGGAGTATAGTTGCCAGCCACTGCGCCTGGCCACTTACAGTGTTATTTTATAATTTATCAACTTTGTTTTCTGCTGGATACCAAACATATGCCTCATTGAAACTAACTACTGTTTATTAAAATAGAAAAGTATTTGTAAAACTTTACATGGTAAAAATTTCTATTAAAGTGAATATATTTATATGTTTAACTGTTCAGATATTAATTACTACTTATTTAGAAACTCACTGATCTGCTAACAAGTAAAACAGAGACCTTTAACCAAATCTCTCTGTACTCAGAGATAAAAGGATTAATTATTATTTCTCTCTTCTCTCTGGTTAAAGCCTTTTTAAAATTTTATTTTCCATTTTACTTTTAAACCACAACTTGTTTAAATTTTGTCACTATTAAAATATTGCAGAGGACATTGCTGTTTATGTCTCCCTTTGTATACATAGGGAGATTGTTTCTGTACACATAGGGAGGGAGAGTTTCTCTGGGTTATATATGTAGGGGAGTGTGTACCTATCACATTTAATTTTTATTTCACATTCTTATATCTAATGCTTCTCATTGCATGACATAACTACCTGAAGTTGGTTTCCTTGGTCCGTGACTCTTCTCTTCAGAACCTATTTTCTCTCCTTTTACAGACGGGCCAAGGTCGCTCGAGTGATTGGTTTACTGGCCTCACACACAACTGAGCTCCAGGAAAATACACCTGTTATCGAGGTAATTTCTTTTATTACTGAAGTGTTATGAATGACAAAAAAGATTGTTCTTGATTTTGTAATTTAGAACATGCAGCTTTCATTGACCTGCACTTAATTTTTCTTTGTGGAATTGTGACAATTGTTATAAAACGATCACCTCAATGGACCTATAGGTTTAAACACAACAGCTCATTTATAACATAGTAGTCTGTTATTAAAAGGGGTATGGCAGCATTAACAAGGCTTGGGAACTCTCCTCATTGTTACTTCATTTATTTTTTGAATAATGCTTGTTTCATTGCTAGTTTTCTTGTAGTCTGTCCAACATTTATTATGACCAATGTATTTTCTAGTTAAAGCATAGCTCCTAATTTAAATTAGAATTTTTTTGGCTTTTTATCTTGAATTTAATGTTTTCATCTTCACCAGTTGTCAATTATTTCTTGACAACTGATCTCAGTATTTAATGGCCATGCACATACTAAAGATATTTTCTAATATTAGCTGTTTCTTTGAAATATTGATATACTGGTAAGACTTTCTTATTTAGTTAACCAGTCACTCCAACTTCTGTGAAGTGAATGCTACCATTGTACTGCCTAGTTGAATATCCTTGAATATTAAAATCGACTTTCCACCTATTCTGTTAATATATATTACACTTGGTAATAGAGTTTTATCTTTGGACTGGGAGAGGCATAAGGGTTAAAATAGACCAAAACAAACAAACAGACAAAACCCAGGGCCTTTGGGGAAAGGGCAAGAACTCCTGAAAGAAGGAAAAAAGAGGTAAGGAGAGGGGATTTGTAGATCTGAAGCTGGTAGGGTGGTATTTGGAGGTTGAAGAGAAATTGTCTAACTGAATACTGTCTGATAGAACTTGGAATTTTTCCAGTGGTGGAAAATTTTCTGCCATAGTCTGCCTTGAACAGTAGCCTGTCTCCCACAGTATGGGACTGTCTCCCATAAATGGGAGATTAATCTCACTGTATTTCCTTTGCTTACAATTCTATGTCTGCTCCCTGCAAACTGTTGGATCACTGATCTACTAGTGAAAAATGTAACTAAGCCTGAGCTTTCCCATTCTTTCTGGGACTAAAAGAAACGAATGGTCACCTATATATGATTGCTGATGGTACCCGCCTTGACTCCCGGATATGTATAAAGTAGATTTTTACGTAAAAGACTGAGCAGATACCAGCACTTTCCCTTTTTAAAGAAAAAAAAAAAAAAAGACTGAGCAGATAGGACAGTGTCACCAGGAAGATGAGAAGGCTTAGACTCTGAAAAGTGGTGGTTCCTTCTGATGGCTCAGAGCAAAAGGTCTCTAACGAGAGAGTGGCTGTAGGAGATGGGAGAGAACTTAAAGAAAAGTATAAGACAGAGTCCTGAGATTTTCCAGGATATTCCTGGATAACCAGATCATGCGTTCATTGCTTAGGAGCTATGTGCCATGAAGAAAGAGCCTCTGAATATGCAAATTTCACTATTCAATTAAATTATTCGGTAGTTACAATAAATAAGTAGGATGGATACTTTAGGAAGCTGAGTTAGTGAATTGGAAGATCAGGGTGGATTCTCTTAGGTTCAGAAAAAAAAGATGATAAAAATTATGAACTACATAGGCATAGAGATTAGTTGCAGAAGATCTATTGTACTGTCTAATGTGGTAGCCACCAGCCATAAGTGGCTACTAAGCACTTGAAGAATAGCTAATCCAAATTGAGAAGAGCTACAAGTGGAAAATACCTACTAGATGTTGAAGACTCGACATGAAAAAAATGTAAAGTATCTGTAATTTAAAAAATGTTAATATATTTTACATTTTCAAATGATAATTTAGATGTATTTGGTTAAATAAGTTATTTAAATTTCATACTTTTTTTTTTTTTTTTTTGAGACAGAGTCTCGCTTTCTTGCCTAGGCTAGAGTGAGTGCCGTGGCGTCAGCCTAGCTCACAGCAACCTCAGACTCCTGGGCTCAAGCGATCCTCCTGCCTCAGCCTCCCAAGTAGCTGGGACTACAGGCACGAGCCACCATGCCCGGCTGATTTTTTTTATATTATATATATTAGTTGGCCAATTAATTTCTTTCTATTTTTATGGTAGAGACGGGGTCTCGCTCAGGCTGGTTTTGAACTCCTGACCTTGAGCAATCCGCCCGCCTCGGCCTCCCAGAGTGCTAGGATTACAGGCGTGAGCCACCGCGCCCGGCCTTAAATTTCATACATTTTTTTAATGTGGCTACTAAGAAATTTAAAATTACTCGTGTGGTTTGAATTATATTTCTATTGAACAGCTCTGATAAACATAATGGAATTTTTAGAAAGAGATCAAGCAAACAGAAGTGAAATAATTGTGACAGAAATAGTAGAAGAAAATTTCTCCCAGAACTGAAGGAGGAATGAATCTTTAGATGAAAGGTCTCACCAAATGTCAGGCAAACCATTGAAAAAAGATGTACATCGAGACATATCCTGGTGAAATGTGTAGTTTCATAGAGAAAAAGATAAAAGCCAAAAATCAGGTTATAAACAAAGAAAATAAGGTTAAATTTAATTTATTTGTAACATGAAAGGCTACAAAAAGGAGAAAACAGTGGAATCACACTTAAGGATTATATGATCTTATGTTTCTCTATACAGCTATTATATTGCCTATTCGTTAGGACAGAACACATTTTCAGAAATTCAGGGACTTCAGATTCAGGGAATCTGAATTTTACCAACATTTCTAAAAAATAAAAAAACTTTTTTTTCTTGAGCAAATTGTAGCTGCCTAAAAACAATGTTAAGGCAAAGTACAGAAGAAACAAATTTAAACAAATGAGTATTAAAATTTAACTGTAAATAACATCTGTTAATGTTGTGAAGCTTAATCTGGAAAGAATGAATTCTTGAAAAAGAATTCATTATACTGTTAAAAAATTAATAACATGGAAATGATTTCCACATTATTTTAAAAGATCTATAAGGGTACGGGAAGGGGGTAGAAAAAGGAAAGTTCTTATTTTGTCCTAGAATTTCATAGATACTGTTATATTCTTGACATTGATACTCTTTCATTCATTTATTTCGCAAATATTTGTCAGTATTTGTGTGTACACGAGGCACTTTCTAGGCATTGGGATATAGTGTTGAACAATATAGGTAGAAATCTAGTGTGGGAAGAAAGATAAATATATAAAATGTCAGGTGTTGATAGATGCTGTGAGAAAGAACCCCTGTAACATTCTGAAATACAATTAAAAAAAGAAAAAGATAAAGTAGGATAATGGAGTTTAGAAATTATGGATGGTCATGGTACTTATTTAGATAGGTTGTCAGGGAAAAAGCCTTTGATAGAAACATTCAAGCATAGACCTGAAGGAGTTGAGGGGACAAGCTGTGCTACCTGGGGGAAGGACATTCCAGGCAGAGTGAACAGCAGTTGCAAAGGTCTGGAGGTAGAAAAGTGGTTGGCATGTTTCAAGGACTAGGAAGTGAGTGCATCTGGGACTGAGTGAGGGGAAGAGTGGTAGGAGGTAAAATTATTGCGGTATCCAGTGGCTAGATCATATAGAGGCTTGCTATATATCATGGTAAGGATTTGGGATTTTATTCAGAGTGAAATGGGAGGCCATTGGAGGATTGTGAGCAGAGGCATGCCTTGATGTGACTTATGTGTGAAAAAGAACATCTTATCTGTTACTCTTACAGGAACAAGGGCAAGGTAGAATCAGACTGGTTTAGGAGGTGAGAGAGGATAGTGGCTTGGACCGAGTTGTTAGTCAGTCACATACACCCACACAAATGTTTGCATGCACATGCACTTATGCTTTTTACCTGGGTAGAGTTTGAAGAATGTTGACAGATTTGCCAATTGCTACAATGATATTTAAAGGGAAGCTTTAATAACCAAGAAGTTTGGCCAACGTAAATTCTAATATTCAGTATTTAAAATGCCAAATCAAATGCAAATCAAAATCAAAATGAAGTATCAGGATAGTCACCAGATTGGCAAAAATTGAAAAGCTTTACAAGCCTAAATGTTCATGAAGAAGAAGAAACTCATTTTTTTGCCGATGGGAATGAGAATAAGCAAAACCATTCTGGAAAACATTGGCCATGTCTCCTAAAGCTGAATACATCTTTCTATGTGTAACCCAGAATCCACTACACTATAACCCAATGTGCCAAACAACATGTACAAGAATATGTATTCACAGCATTATTTATAACAGCCCCATATTTAAAAAATTAAAAAAAATTTTTTTTTTAAGACAGATCTTGCTCTGCCACCCAGGCTAGAGTTTAGTGGTGTGACTATAGCTCATTGCAACCTCAAACTCCTGGGCTCAGGCAGTCCTCCTGTGTTAGCCTCTTGAGTAGCTAGCACTACAGGCATGTCCACTATGCCCAGCTAATTTTTAAATGTTTTGTATAGACAGGGTCTTGCATTGTTGCCCAGGCTGGTCCCAAACTCCTGACCTCAAGTGATCCTCCTGCCTTGGCCTCCTAGAGTGCTGGGTTATTGGCATGAGTCAGTATAACAGCCCTATGCCTGGCCAGTATAACAGCTCTATGTTTAAAATAACCCATACGTCCATCAACAGCCTGGACAAAGTGTGGTATGTTCACACAACAGAGTGCTAAACAGCATTGAGAATAATGAACCATAGCATGGGGCAGTGGGCCCGAATGAATCTCATGGTCATAGGCGCTTGTGCAAAACATCAGTTGGGACATTTCCTGGGAAAGACTGATCTGTATCTTCAGAAATGTCTTAGGGCTGTGATGGTTCTTATCTGAAGGGTCAGCTCCCCCTTGGGCCAGGCGTGATGGGGGAGAGGTGGTTAGAGGTAGGTGTCCTGGAAGGGGTCTGGAGATGAGGGGTGGCATGTGGCATAGAGTCTGGGGAAGACAGGCCAGAGGCCACGTCTGGAGCTTAAAAGGCTGCCCACACCCCCTGTGGGGTCCTTGTGCATGGGACTCCCTGTAGCAGTGGCTGGGAGACGGGGTGATCTGCTGTTGTAGGACTT